AATAAGAATGGAGACTATTTCATTTAATAAATGTGTTGTTTTGATATATAAGTTGTTCAGGTTTTTCATCTAAAAAAAAGCAACATTAATTTCTTGACGACCTAATAGTTTCACTGTTGTATATGTGGTAATTTCAATTCTACTATTTCCTCTCCTTATATTTGAGCTTTAGACCTGTCATATGCCAGGAAAGATCTCTACCAACTTGCTAGTAAGTCACTTTTTTACAACTCAAACTACTACATATCTCCTGTAAATGATAATAAGGGGTAAATTAACATTCTCACTGATGGATCTGCTGAAAACAGCAAAAGAAAAATATCATGAGTACATCATGTTGCCAGACTTGCCAAACTGTGGTTCTGCTGGTCTGTTATGTTGTAACTTTACTGCATAGCTACAAGAAATCCAGTATAGCTTACATCATATTGTCAATATTACATATCTTTGATGCACAATCTTCTGCAGCAGCTAAACTACTTCCAAGGTGACTCTACTATCCTCCAAAAAACCCAATTACATTTCAATGGATTCCATCTCACGTGAAAGTTAGGGTCAGTGAAAAATTAGATCAATTAAAAAAGCATTCTCCTATATCAATAAATTCAAGAAATTAACATCTAAAAGTATAGGCTCCTCCTCAATGCTCAAGCTGGAAACACTGTTTTCTCAAGAAATACCTAAGAGATACAAATCCTCCAAAGCCTGCATTTGGAAAAATGATAATGGTAAAGCTTGACAGACATTTCCAAACTTTTTCTTTGTAGTCCAAAGATTAAGGAAATTTTTACCCAACAACTAATTGGGCAAAAATCGAAGGACTCTATACAGCATTATCTCTGCCAAGAAAAACAAATGATGTTTCTACATCATTAACCACAATGAACTTCTATTATACAAAAATAAATCTATTATATTATATTATACAAAAGCTTCTATTATACAGACATCATAAACCACATTGAGCTTCTATTATACAAAAGTATGCACCACAACCACCATCTATTCCTATATCATAAACCACAATGAGCTTCTATTATGTAGAAGTATGCACCAACATCTATTCCTACATCATAAACCACAATGAGTCTATATTATGCAGAAGTATGCACCACCACCATCTATTGCTACACCATAAACCACAATGAGCTTATATTATGCAGAAGTATGCACCACCACCATCTACTCCTACAGCATAAACTATAATGAGCTTATATTATGCAGAAGTATGCACCACCAACACCTATTCCTACATCATAAACCACAATGAGTGTATATTATGCAGAAGTATGCACCCTCACTAACAACATCTACTCCTACATCATAAACCACAATGAGCTTCTATTATGTAGAAGTATGCACCACCACCATCTATTCCTATGAGATGGCATGTCTAAGAAAGTATTAATTGGAAAAACCATTCAATACATGAAAATCATTTTCATTTTTTTTAAATTACCAGGAATGTGTGTATCTTTATCCCAGTATTACTTTTTTTCCTGCACATGTATCAAGAGTCATTGCAGGAATGTTAAAATCTTTAATTGCATGTTTACTGAATCTCTAATTAATCTGCAATTATGCTACATATACACACCAACATATTAGAAATGAGAATGAATCTAAAAATTGTTTACTTAAGCACATAATAACAACTCTAGTTCTCCTCCTTGTAATTAAACCAGATTCTCCATTCTCAGTAAAGCTTTTCATGAATGATGAATGCTTATAAATCATTATGACCTATTATTTTATTCATTATGAACCATTTTATAATTCTTTGCTTGACTACAAGTTACAAGATTTTTGTGGAAAAATGAGATTAGTTAAATACATTAGTTATGTGATAAAGGTACACTACATACAACCATGTAAGTTTGTAAAATATTGAAAATTTATAACTGAACTGTTCCTTAATCCTACAAATTCAAAACAAAGTATACTTCTGGAAAAATCTTCTATTGAATTATTTTGATAACTTTATACAGAATTTCAAATATTTCAAACAATTACTGTGATAATCTTGACTTACTGCAATTTCTCGGCATGCTGACATTGAAATTCCAGTCCCTTCTATTTGTTTTAAGGCATAATCCTTAGGATCAGAACTGGAAAACAAAATTATACATTTCTTAGTCATTCTAACTTTTAGTCATTTATGCAACTATATTCTATAAACTATGTAAAATTATGATATACTTGTAATCAAACACATCTATCGTAGCTGTGACAACTGTAATTATAATTCAAGGAGGCTGCTAAAACTAAAGCTTTACTTTTGTTACTTGATAAGTCTTTCTCAAAATATATACATGAACATGTAGCTACAAATGGTATAAAAGTGTTTGGACTTGATAAAATATATTAAATTTGAATGTTGGTACCTGCACATTTAATATGTTAAACAATCGTCGGCAGCGACTGTAAAAACTCACCCATCTTTCCGACGAGCCTTGTACACGTGACCATACGTTCCTCTACCTACTTTGCATCCTTCATATTCAAATAAATCTTCAACTTTTGTTCGTTCTGCTGTGGCTTTCATCTTGAAGTCATAATCCATTTTTAACTAAATATATAATATATATATATATATATGAAGTAATACCATAGCATTACTATTATTAATTCACAGTTAAACAGGATCTTAAAAACTTTTAGGAACGTTTGCAATGTTTATCATTAAAAACATCAAACATAGTGTAAATGTTGAAATATAAGATCTGGTGTACAGTAAGAAAGGGTGAAATAAAGATCATGTTAGCCACATTTTTTTTATCAAACTTTTGCCAAGTTTGGACATTTTACATGAAACTTGTAGATGAATGACAAGAATTCTTGGAAGTACAAGCACTTTTATTACTTATTAAATTATTTACATAAAAAGAGATATTAGAATGGAATACAAGCCATTTTTAGAAGACAGACATTCTAACAATGCCAAGTCAGCCTATCTTAAAATTTTTGTTCAAACACTTACAATGGGAAGCATTGTTACAAAGTTTAAACAAATAAAATGATGAGTTAACTAGAAAATAACTACATTTCTGGGTAATAGTCAAATACTTTTCAACGATAAAAAAGGTGTAGGTGAAGAAACAATATAAAATACTCAATCACACATTGATAACTCAAGAATATCATTAGCTACAAAACATTTCTTCAAAAAAAATTTACATATAGAGATATGAACATGCAAACCCAGATAAACAAGAATTAGTCTTATATTATTTTAGTAAACATGCAAAAAAATTAATTATAAATCTATACAAAAATGCAGCTTACTTTTTTTTTCATATACAGATTCCTGAAAACTATGGTGTATAAAACATCCTGAAAAAAAAAAAATAATGTCAAACATTACAAGCCAAATATAAAAGCTAGAGAACATGCTTCTGAAAAAATAAATAAATATAGTTGTGAAGTGCACATTTTTCATATCCTATGTGTAAACAACATACAAAGAATTACAGAAGGGAGGTTAATATGAGTGATGGATTGTACAGTCCAATCCATTCATTCTTTAATCCTCTAACAAGAGAGCTTGAAAGCGGATAATGGAAGGGTTGCCAAACTCAAAATTTGAAATGTATCTAAAATTTAACATGTTCCTCAGGAGCCAAGGGGTGTCTTTACACTACAATTTGTTGAATAATAAAAGTAAGTACAATCCGGAAACTCCCAAAGAGGGTGGTTTTAGATATACCTATAAATTTGAGACAAGTTTTTGTTTTGTAACTCAGAAATTTTAAAGTGAAATACAGTATCCTCAAGTCTCCATTCTAGCTAGTACTAAGGTCTACCCATTGTGAGTAAATTCAGTACACATATCCATAAAGTCACATTCTCAGCATCATTAATTAAGCAATTGCCAACCTTTTATGCTTCTGCTATCACCTTTTTATGTTTAGCTTTCAATTGAGATACAAATGATTTCACCTGTAATTTGATAGTCAGCAGTAGGATGAGCAGACAGGAACACTTTGAAAGGAGCTACAGGCATATTGTACTCAACTTGTTGCATAATATCTACCAAAGTGGTTCTAAACGGTTCCTGAAGACCTCTGCATGTCATTTAGAGACTACCATGCTTCTTGTGCTTGGCAATTAAGCTCATGATGCACTGACAGATTTCAATCACTTTACCACTTCAAATTACTTTTCATAGCCCTAACGCTATATGTCCAGGAAATGCCTTCTTTTTTAGCCAATAAAAATGTCCAAAAATTTTCAGTTCAAATTAAGAAAAACCAGATTGGGTAGGGGTTTTTTTTCAACAAAAATGTCCCCCACTGGCTCGTGAAGGGCTTGTTAATAACTTTGGGGTCAAAAGTGCAGACAAAAAAAATTAACTTGAAGTATCTGTACAAGCAGTTACAAACTTGTAAAGGGTGTGTCAAATGACCTGGTTTATGTTGTTGTTTAAAATTAATTCAAAGATATACAAATAAGAAGCACTACATTTAGTTTGGATTGCTTGCATATTTTTTTTTTTTTTTTTTGGATAGATAAGTACCTTATGGGCCAAAAAACTTTCTGTTGCTCTTCCTGTATTTATGATTCCAAATTCAAACTGGAATGCCTGTTGGTTATAAATTTTTAAAAGTCAAAATTACTCCCAACTTGAAAGAATTACAATGAAATCAATTATATGTGGAAAAGTAGTTTTTACAGTTTCTAAAATTTAAAAATCTTGACCAAACTTTTTGTGAATTTATCTACAAGTGCTTTTCATGATGTGGGAAATTTCTAAGCTGACAATTACTGAAGGTGGAATTATTTGCACTTTCAATTTATATTGAAAAAGAAGTTGTTTTCAAAATGGCTGAGAGGAATATTATAAATAAAGCCCAACTCCTGTTGGACCTAAATTAGATTTATCCCAAAACTTTGCAGCTTAGCACAAACTAAAGAAGAGTCTGTTTTTTTTCAAAAAGTTTCTGCCTGTTGATACCAGAGAAAATCTTAATGACTGGAATAGTGCCATTATTATTATTCCTAATTTTAAAAGGAAAAGGTCACAAGATGATTTAGGTAAATTATAAGTCTACTAATTTGATTTCTGTTGGCAAAATGTTGTAACCTGTTATTAGAAGTCATTTTAAAAGATTTTATAATGCTGGCATTGAATTAAATATTCTCAGCATAATTTTAGAAAAGTTTTTTTCACTTTCCACATTTTTGCAGTTTAAAAAAAAAAAGACTAGGTTACAGATGGTCATTTAGCCCATTGAGGTCACCCAACATAAAAACCAGCCCAACCTAAACATAAAATTATTATCCAACAAAAAGTTACAGATGTTCAAACTAATAGCATGCATACAACACATCAACTGGTAAATCATTGCACAAGTTAACATCTAACACTTAAAAAACTGCCATAACCAGCCAGGAAATAAGATTTGAAATTTTACACTTATTTCCAATAATACTTAGGATTTTGATCACCAACCTTATTCTTTCATTAGTCAAAAAAAAACCTCCCAATGGATGTTTAGCTATGCCCCCCCCCCCAGTTTTACACATTTGAATTGTGCTATCTCTAGTTCTTCTATGCTCTAGAAAAAAGAAGTTCATATCTTTATCTCCCTCTTCACAGCTTAAATGCTTCAAACCATGAATCATTTTAGTATCCTGTATATGAATGTTTTCAAGTAAATCACTATTTCTTTTTTTATAATATGTGGAATAAAACTGAACAAAATATTACAAATGAAGCCTGACCCAATTTGGTAAAAAATAATAATAGCCTTTATACTCCTGAACTCAATTAATAGCTATAAATAGATCCCAGAACCATATTTTCTCTTTCACCACTTCCTAATATTCAGCCAAATGTCTAAAGCTATTAGCAATCACTGCAAGCAAATTTTTCTTACACAAAAAAAACATTGCTATAGTTCCAAAATGAATAACTTTCTATTTAAAAGGTTAACATGTTTCTTTTTTGTTTTTTGGATGAACATATCTGTGTGATGATGGTCATCATACCAATCATACCCTTGAAAATATGCTTTATAATTAGATTACACTGCATACTTCTGGAATTTTTGGAAGAGTGGATAGAAAAGTAGCTTAATGGTAGAAAGCAACATTGGTAATAAATAGAGAATGCAACTACTAGGGTCCATCAGTGTTCAGTTTTGGGAACTTTATTGGTATTTATGTCAATAATTTGGATAACTTTTGAAAATCTCTTAAGCTAGTGAGTTTGATGCTGGGAAAAGCTTATTCTACTGAGAATGCTTCTGTTATTCGGAATAACATTGACAATCTTGGTTAATGGGACAAAAAATGGAAAAACAAGTTCTAACAATGAACAGTGTAAATTGTGCACTTGGGTGTAGAAAATTTGGAGAGAATTTAAGTTTTGTGTGAGAGGAGAATCACTGTTGTGGTGGATGGAAGAAAATGAAGAAGGAGAGGGTTCAACTAGAACTGTTGCCATAATCCTAAAAACTCTCTACAACATGTAACTGTGGTGAAAACAATAAATGTTGTAACTTCCTTCTACCTATAGAAATCTACATTTGAAAAATAAGAATTTTTTACTGTAGCCCCATTTAACACTGTTGAAGCCACATCAAGTACCTCATGCAGTTTGGGCCCATTTACTGCAGGAAAGTTGTATCAACATGAACAAAGTGTAGAGTACTTGGTTTAAGTGATCCAAGCAATAAGAAGAAACAATAAAGTTCAGAGTTTTTTTTTTTAGCATAGAACAACTGGAAAAGCCGTTCTCTTCACTTGTTTTAGCATGTATATATATATATATAGAGAGAGAGAGAGAGAGAGATTTTATATCATTAATGCAATTTAGAGGCTAAAACTTCTCAAAGTACACAGTTACATATCAATAAAGTGATACACGAGGTTACAGTAGCTTTTTATATTCATAAAAGTTTAAAAATAACATACCAGAACTCCACACAGTAATTACACTTCATATTTCTCATACAGAAATTAGTTTCTTTTCAAACCTTCCAATCCCATATGCATACTTTACACTTTTTAAAACAGTTGAGGTATTTCTGTATTAATGAAAAATTCTACACAGTATTAGTCTGTACCCATATCTTAATATCACCAATGAATCCAGAAATATTAGTGCCTATATATTTTTCAAATGTGTAATACAAATAATCATTAACAAAGATCCCACAAGTATACACCTGAAATACCTATTCACATCCTTATATATATATATATTATAAAAAATTATCATTACACATATCATCACCCTATGATTTATATCTCCTTTTAACTTTTATCTATTCCATAAGGATCTTACCAATTGTGGAGAACTCTAGGATGATCCTAGTGATGGAATGGTTATCTTACTGGGATACATCTCAACTTATTTTCTCTTGTGAAGGGTAAAATGTGATCTCATTAATCAAATGTACAAGGGGTCAGTCCATTAAACCAAACCCATACTGAAGAGGATAATTGACCATAATTCTAGAATTACTATGTGTGTCTATATAAAATGTGACAAGATTTTAGTAAAATATACAAACCAGTTGTACACACAAAATCAGATGTGTTAAAAAAGTACTTGTACTCAAGATACATCTGTAAATTGATGACATCAGTCTGACTCAGACTCTACCTAGTCAGAATACAAAGTGATATTCATGTGAAGAATCAAAATACTTTTGTCCATTGCTCAGGTTATGTACTGTATTTGTATAACCTCTAGAGCCTCCAATATACACATCTACAGGTTTTTTTTCCATATCCCTTTACATATACTGTATCTGGTCTTTACTCTCTACTACCACAAATTGTTGCTAAATCAGCAATGTAGGTTAAAATTAATAATTGATAACTCTGACATTAAATACATATCATGTTGAATAGTACTCTGTAAAAGGTCGTGACATGCCCACTTTGACTCCAACCTATGTGCATAGAGTTTAAGTATAAAAGATTGTTTGGGGAACTGATAGTATAAAAGACCTTGATTTTTGTGTGCTGTATTCTGTAGACAAAAGGATGACAGAACACAAGTTAAAGATTTGGAAAATGACAAGCTGACAGTTTTATTTTCTAACAGGGTGACTGACTTATGAGTTACTGCCAATTGTGGCACAAGCCAGTGCATTAGAAGAATTTAAAAGGGGAATAAATGATTTTCTAAAATATCCCCCCCCCAATATGTCAGAG